TACATGATAATTACCACTTAATTACATACTTCACTAACTAAACTAAATAATATATCAGTTATAATATCCATACGAGTTGAGACTGAGCTCAAGGGAATTATTCTTGTTGGAGCGGTACCAGTTTCCTACGATGTAGTAACCTCCAGTGTTGTGCTATGATGACAAATTTTTTGCCTGCATGTTGAACAAATCATGGTAGGTGCCTCCATTAATCAGAAATAAAGGAAGTATTTCTATCTGTGTTGAGCTATGTCTTTCTTCCAATTGTTCTTCCTATTAATTAGCTATAGCAAAAAATGAGAACAAGTAGCAAAAGTTTTGTAACTATAGAAACCAACTGTCTCTAGCTCACATGATGCTCACAGAAGCGCCCAATCGACCTATGCATGATGTTCACGGTTATTTGAATAAAAAACATAAAACTGAAATGTTTTATATTCAAATAATTATGCATTTGATAGATGCATGATGATTTTTTGTGTTATATCCAAAATTAAAATTATGAACTCAATTATCATTCAATTTTTGTAATTGAGTTATGATAATTTGAAAAAAAAATCATCCAATAATATGATTTTGAAGTTTTATGTAAAACAAATAGGAAACAAAAAGCAATGTATCAATGAAATGCATAATATTTCTTTAACTTTACTTCAAATTAATAAGTTTTCAAATTTTGTAATATTTGTATGAGTTCAGTTGTAATTTTATCTGCATAAAAAAATTGTTAAAATTTAAATTTTATTTGAAGATAAAGCAAACATGTTTGGAGTAAATCAAAATTTTGTCAAACTCTCTTTCGCTCAGCAAAACCTGAAACAACTTTTGGGTTTGCTCTCGCTTTGATGTAAATTTTTAAAGAAAGATCATTATCAATATCATAATCAGTTAAAATGTAATATCTTTAAGGTTTTAATCCATATCCAAAGTTTTGTAATGAAATTTGGTCAATTTACACTAAATGGAAAATAGATAGGAAAATAAGTAGTGCATCAATCAAATGCATAAGATTTTTTTAAAAGTTGCTTTTAAATAATAATTTTTTGACTGATTTAGTAATTAGTTTGTTTGTTCTTTCCTTTAACTGCAAGTAATTAGTAGCTGAAATGATTTCCTAATTTAACCTCAATTACGATTAGAACATCGATTTGGTTAGTTCGTTGATTCGCTCCTTCAATAGACTTTGCCATTGATTCTGCCTATATATATATATATATATATATATATATATATATATATATATATATATATATAGAGAGAGAGAGAGAGAGAGGTAGGTAGGTTCATGTATTATATATATATATATATATATATATATATATATATATATATATATATAGAGAGAGAGAGAGAGAGAGAGAGGTAGGTAGGTTCATATATTCTAACTATTTATTATGTGGATGTACGAATGATTGTGGCAAATCATTTCAAAAACCTAATAAATGGTATTTTAGTAATCTTAAATTATAATTAATAATTTAATTAATTGAATCAAATATTTATGCCCTATAATTATGGGTAGTTACCTTATATTCTCTCAAACCCTACTTATCAATCTTAAAACCATCGGCTATCCTTATCTTCTCCACCCCCATTTGACGAATACTCATCTTCCCACTGATGCTCTGTCTCTTTGTTCAAGACTCCGCAAATGGATTTTTTGTTTCACGGGTGTGCTAGATATTGTCTATTGCGTCGAAGGCGATCAAGTGGTGGGACATCGGAGCAGTATGTCAGTCATTGGAAAACCCTAGTCGACAACGTGCTACTTCTTTCAAGGTCAATTGTGCCTCCAACATTGCACGAATGGTGCTTCTTCCATCACAGAGGAGCGTAAATGGTGGTGATTTCAGGGGAATAAACTTCTTTGGTTGCCGCACCTTGCAACCCTATCAATGCGTAACGTACAACCTGGACAAGCATCGACCTTGAGGTAAGAAAATAATATCTTTTGTCTTTGTGATAAGCACCAATTGTAACCTAATCTCTTCCATCATTCCAAACATCATATATTTATTTTGAAACATACTTAATTTCTTTTTAAAAACAAGAAGCAAGGTCAGGTTGTCTATCTATTCTGCGATTTTTCACCTTCGGACTATATGTTTCTTTGAGAAACTTCTTGAATTATAACATGGTGTGGCCTCCAGTAATTGAATTAGAATACACAACCAGATTCCTATAGAACAAGTAAATCCCGGTATCTAAAAACATCGATGGTCAAGGTCAAGAACTTCATGATAACAAAAATAAGAAGCATAAGGACGGATGTTAAATATAACTCTAAGGTTATATTGCAGTAAAAGATCAAAGCTCTCTGAAAATGGCAGCATATAGGGTTTATAAACACAATCTTCTGGATATATGAAGCATGTGTTTACCTCTTTTATTCATTCTAAGGATGATCCCCCATTACATGTCAGCATCCGAATCACAGAACACACTCATTACCTTGTGCTTATTCAGATTGTTCCTACCCCATTAATATTAGGTTTATTATTCGTACTTGCTACAAGTGAAGTTTTTATACAAAATGTTATAAATGTTAAGTTTTTTATACAAAATTCTGCCAGTTTTTTAATAACAATTGTTTTTTTTATGTCATAGTGCTAGAAAAAGTTTTGTTGTAGAAGTCTTGATGTTACCTCAAGTACTGTTAACAAGAAAAATGATTTTTTTGTTCATTATTATGTCAATTTTTTCATAGAAGGTCCACTATTTCTACATCTTATTTGTTGAGAGTTGTATGTATTTACATTCGTGAACTTCATTATATGTATGTGTTTTGTTTCAGGACCATTCAGAATGTAGCAAGGTTAATTGGAACAACGATGATAGGTGGAAATTAAGATATAATTTCATGATAATTGAGATTCACCACACCAATAATGAGAATGAACATTCTTTCAAGAATAAAATTGTATTATTATGGAATGAAGATTCTTTCAAGAATGACTTATATTAAATATTGTATTCTTATGGAATGAAGATTCTCTCAAAATGTCTTCCTATAAAACATTGTATGCTTGTAGAATGTGATAAATATTCAAAGAATGACATTATATATTTTTATATAATGTGACTATAAATTTGTTTTATTTGTTTATTTTTGGACATTAGTTTCTTGAATATTGTTAATAATAGATGATTATTTTTTAAGAATGTTCTTATTCTTCAAACTCATGGTTCAAAATTTTGATATTCTTCATTATGTTCATTCAATTAGAATATGTATTATGTCAGAATATCAATTCTGTTAGAAGTTGTATTATGCCAGAATATGCATTTTGACAAAATTAAAATTGAGTTAATTAAAAAAAATTTGAATTCAAAATTAAAATAATAAAAAATCCCTTAAAATCCAAAAATTTCTTTTTTAAATTTGTGTTTCCTAATTTGAAAGTAATGGAAATGTACAATTTTACCATTCTTTTAATTAAATGGTATTATTTGATTTTTTTAATTTAATAATATGGATAAATGACTTTCTTAAAATAACTAAAATGATTGGTCCACAATCATTCCTACAAATAGACAATAATTAGTTAGAACACAATAACCTAAGCCTATATATATATATATATATATATATATATATATATATATATATATATATATATATATATATATATATATATATATATATATATATAGAGAGAGAGAGAGAGAGAGAGAAGACTCTATTTTCTGTGAGTACTATGAGGCCTAATCGTGGCTGTTCATCTAAAAAACAAGTAGCTATGAGTTTTTGCAATTTTATTTTATTTTAATTAAAACCGACGGTGGCATTTTTAAAATTATCTCCAACTTTTTGGAATCTTCCTGCAAAGGGTAAATCTGTTGTGGGCATGATGGTTAATTACAATATAGAAACCCATGGTCGCTATCTCACTCCATTTTCCCCCATTATTCCTCTTTCTTCTTCATTGTTTCCCATCGTATTACTAAGCAATCGATTGCTTAATCCTTCGTTCGAGCTCAAAATATTGTTCAAATCTTCGTTGTTAATCTTTGTCGTTGTCTTCTTGGTGTTATAGAAGCATGTAATTTTCTGTTTTTTAGTTTTTATGTTTTTAAGTTCGTATGTGCTCTGTTTTTGCTTAATCGAAGTTATTAATGCCTCGTTTTGTTCTCATTGTTGTTCAGATTGTTCAATTTCTTCTCATTGTTTTTTTTTTTGTTTTAAATATTTATGAAACCATAGTACCTTGTATATTTGATATTCATGTTTTTCCGTTTGCTTCGGTTCGATTTTGTGTTAATCGAAGTATTTTAAGTTTTGTTTCTTGTTTTTTGTTGTAGAAATTATTAGATTAGTTTGTTGGTGATTTGTTATCATCAATGTTATTTAAGTGTAATGGGATTACTTTGTTGACCAAAAGTGATCTTGATAAATATTAAACAAGTAAGGAAGGTGTGGAGTACACACTTGTTTAAGTTTGATCAAGTTTCAAAGTACACTGTCATTTAGGGGAGAAGCCCCTGAACGAACAGGGTCCGGGGGCAGCGCCCCTGGGAGCGGGGTCCAAGGGGCGGCAGTTCCTGGCGGGGTCCAAGGGTCAGAGCCCCTGGCTGGGGTCGATATATCCGTTTGACCCTTATGCATATTAAAAATGCATCAGAAAATTGGTTTTTCAGATAATTGACCATTGGTTTGACCCTTATCCATATATCCGTTTTTATGAAAGTTTTTATGGTTTTATGACAGTTTAAAACTATCATATGATAGTTTTCAGACAAAGATCTAAAAAGTTTGTTTTGGTCTCATTTCTCGTACATAGGAAAAATATCATCAAACATTGTATTTATATGTAGTTGAATTAAAGAAAAGGAAGATATTATCTCTTACAAAAGATGCAAAAGACAATTTTGTTGATCTTTCTTCTAACAAAAAGGCTTCATTAAGGTCTAATTCTTTGGTAGATATTTCATTTTCTTCCAATGGAGCTTCATCAGTGAAACTTGTTAAAGTTAAAAAAGTTGCCAAAGTCATTGCAAGTATGGATGAAGATGATGATTTTGTTTCTACTGCTGTTATTGGTCAAGTAAATGTTAAGAAGGCTAAAATTACATATAAGATGCTTTAGGTTTAATCTCTACTATCTATAGAAGCCTTAATGATAATAAAAAAGATGTAGTTAAGGAAATAGGGTTTGGATTTCTTAAAGAATTTGTGGTTAAAAAGTTTAGTAAGGAAATTTGTTTCTGGGTTCTTGAGAGATATAATGAAAAGAGAAATGTTCTTTGTATCAAGAACAATGAGATTCATATTACTAGGAGAGGTGTTCATGACATGTATGGTCTTCCAATGGGTGATATTCCTATGAATTTACCTAAGAAAAGTCGTTTTGGGATTGCTGCTTTTAGAAACTGAATGAATCAGTTTTCAATTACTAGGATTAGACTTGTTAATCTCAGAGAAATTTTAGAAAAAAGTACTGATTCAGGTTCTATGTTTAGATTGAACTTTTTGGTTGCATATGTGACCATCCTGGTTGATGGTCCAAGTATGGGTACATGCAACCAAAACAATTTGGAAAATTTTGAAGAAGAAGTGTCTATTAAAGATCTTGATTGGTGTGACTTTCTGATTGATTATTTAAATTGGAGCAAAATGTTGTTGAAATTTGAATCAAATGCAAAAGATATCAAGAGTCTTCAATATATTGGACCTGTTGCATTTCTAGTGGGAAGTTTAAGTTCTTCGTTTTTTTTCATGTTATGTAGTTATTGTATCTTCATTATACAAAGATATCTTCAGAATCATTGGATAGCGTATATCCTGCCTTGTCTTATTGGTCACCAACAAAAGTTAAAGAAAAATTGAAAGAATTTTTTAGTAACGGAGGTTATGAAAATGTTGAAGTCATAAAAACATATGAAGAATTTTGTTGATTATCCAAAAGTAAAGATTCAGAAACAAAAACATGTTTATCTTTTTTTGTCCTTTATATAAAATATTTAATTTTTATAATCTTATTTTATTATTTTTTAATACTTTAATTTTTAGATGAAGAATACATTACTCTTGCTAATGTTATGGGAAGAAAATTGCAAAAGAAAATGATGAAAGAGAATGAAGAAAACATGTCTCTTTCTGTTGTTATGAGGAAAAAATGGATAAGAAAAACATGCAAAATAATATTCCTTTGAAAAAAAGGAATAAATTTTCAATGAAAAAATCTAAAGTTCAACAAGTTGAAGATAAATTTTTATTTTTTAATTAATTTTTATGTTTATTTACCTTTATAATTTACAACGGTTTCTATTGTTTTGGATCATTCTCTTAAAGGAAACAATATTGTTCAAGAGAAAACAATTGAGAATGAAGTTAGAAATGATGGTAAGTTTTTTTATCTTTTTTTTTAAATTGATTTTTTTTTATTGACCTTTATAATTTAAAACGATTGTTATTCTTTTGAATCATTCTGACAAAGGATAAAATGTTGTTGAAGAGAACATAAATGAGAATCAAGTGAGAAATGATGGTAAGATTCTTTTTTCATATATTTTTTAAAATAGATTTTTATGTTTATTGACTTTTATAATCTGAAATAGTTCCTATTTTTATGGAGAATGATGATAAAGGAAAGTAATTTATTCAAAAGAACATAAATGATAATGAAATGAGAGATGATGGTACGTTGTATTTTTTTAATAATTTTTTAATAATTTGTTAATATCTAATTTGTAATTTTAATGTAATTGATTTTGATTAATTTGATAATGTCAATGAAGATTGGATGGATAGAGGTCCTTCTATCCCTCGATTTGATATTATTCTTAATTGTTCAAAGTCTATAGATATATATGTTTTTGCATCATGGTTTTGAGTCATAATATGTTCAGATCATTTTTAATCCTTTTTTAATATAATGTTATTTTTCAGGATTTTAAGGAGAAGATAGATTTTCTGTTAAAAAGTTATACTTGTTTGAAGCCTGCTATTGAGGATTGGAACAATCGTGCTTGGAATCTGTTCCCAGGAAACCAAGAGATTTTGAAGTATGTTGCGAAACGTAATGTTGAATTTAACCAAGTTCATCAAAATCTTGTGTTATTTTCTAGTCCAAAAGTAAATCAACATGTTGAACTTTCTAAGGAGTTGTCAAATGTTGGAAAAGAAAATGAAGATGTTCCAGTTTTTGAGGAATTAAGAGATGTTCAACTTGATCAACTGTCAATGACATAATTTTTCGATCATCCTATGGTTCAGGAACAGTTGGAGGTGCTAATGAAAAAAATGAAGCTTTGAAAGATGATAGTATTGAGCCAAATAAAATGTTGAGCCATCTAATTGTTTCAAATCAGTTTCACGATCCTAATGCTGTAATTTCAAACCTTTCAAGAAACCCTTCAGGAAAGCCTTCTCCTATTTCTCAGATCATGATTTGGTTATTGGTGAATCTTCTACAAGCATTATAAGTCAAGTTGTTGGATTCAAAAATGTAGGGGTAGTTGAAAACTTGGCTAAGGGGAATTTGTTGGATTCAGACATTTGGTTTGGATAAAAGTTTTAGAACTCCAAATGATCCAAAAGTTTACGTGTTAATTTGGTATGTTAATTATTTATATTTCTATTTTGTTAATTAAATTAAATTATATATATATATATATATATATATATATATATATATATATATATATATATATATATATTACATTTAATATTTTATTTTTTTAACATGTATTCTCTCCTATTTTCAGAAAAGAACATTGCTTTTTGGTTGTTTTGATTTAGTCAAGGGAAAAATGGAAATGATTGATAACAATATGACTACACAAGGGATCCCTTCAAAATATCTAGTTTTTCTTGATAATTTGGTAATTAATTTTTTTGTCCGATATTTACTTTTTTATTTTGTTTTTTAAACTAATAAAAAAACCTTTTTTATGTAGAAAACAATGCTTAAACAGTATTTGACTATTATGGATCATCCCCGAGTCAATTCATTCAAAATAATAAAGATGGAAAGGTTTGAGATGGAGCGGCAGACAAAAAACAATGATGTTGATTGAGTGTTATTTCTCATGAGACACATGGAAGTATATCATGGTGGTGGAGTGGAGAAGATTGATGCTGATATATTGCATGAGTGTACCAGTCTAAAGATGCAATTAGTGGACATGAGGAAGAAATATGTTGGTAGGATTTTGTTGTCAGATTTGAACTTGTGCAAACCTTCTTTTGTTACTACTTTAGAGGATTATGATAAACTGACAAGCTACAAGAGGTAGAAGATTTACATTGAAAGTCATTTGCATGAAGTTGAAGTGAGGGTTTAATCAACAAGTGTTCTTTGATCAGTGGTTGTTTCTTGTTTTGAAACTATTTTGGTTATTTGTGAATTGCTAAGGAATACTATATAAGTATCCTTGTTTGTTTTTTATTTAGAATTAATATGTATGTTTTTTTGGATGATCACCAATATATGGTAAACTATGATACACTTATGTTATGATACTAATGGTGGTTTATAATGTGATTTTCTAAGGAAGACTATAAATATCCTTGTTTGTTTTGTGTTTTGAAGTTATTTATATGTTTTTTTTGTTATGGAGGATCACCATTATATGGTAAACTATGATCTATTTATGCTATGATACAAATGGTTATTTATAATGTTTTAGATTCAAATTATTCACAAAAAAGACAAATATTTTCTTATTTAAATAAAATTAAAATAGATAAATGTTATGTATTTTAGTATGTGGCCCACCAGGTTTTTAAACCTTCTCCAAATATAAAACTGACAGGGTATCTAAGTTTAGTTTGTGGCCTAATGAGTTTTTAAGACAAATACTATTTTATATGAATCTTTAATTTAAAATTATATATTTTTTTGAACCAAATTTTATTCATAGTTTAATGATGCAATTTTATTATTCCAAACTTTTATTGTGATTTTATAAATTGAATTCCTTACATTATATAAAAGTTTATGTATAAAGTCATGAACCAAAATTGTTATTCCACAAATATTTTTTAATCTTTAATAAATTTTATCTTAAGCGAACTATTTATTTTTTTTTATCAAAGTTTGTATATTTAAAAAATATAAATATAAATATAAATTGTATATAATTTCTGTGAATAAATTTTAAATCTTTATTAAAAAAATATAAATCTTATTTTGTATCAAATGTTTTGCATCAAAAATATATTTATATATAAAGAGTCAAAAAGAACTTACCATTTAGAACATAATTTTAATTAAATTATCAAACAATTTTATTAAAAGTGCATAAATTAATGAACCACAATTGTTTATTTTTGTGAATCAAATTTCAAATATTATTAGAACCTTATAAATTATATATTCGGATAAAAAACTTTTGCATCAAAAATATAAATATAGAAAGAATCAAAAATAACTTACTATTTCTAGCACTATTTTATTTAAACATTCAAACAATCTTATTAACTTCTTTATAACTTATATTTACATCAAATTGTTTACATCAAAATTTTAAGGGTAAAATGATTCAAAAAGAACTTAATATTTAGAACATCAGTTTATATAAAACATCAAACAAATTTATTAATGAGTATATAGTTCTTTTGTTAAAAATATATCAAACAAATTTAAAATCTATCAAACATTAGATATCGCTTCTTCTATTGCCAATTTATGGCAATTACGGAAATCATGTTTTTCACTTGTCTTGTATTTTATGGTTTTTACCACATTTATGAAATTTTCTTCCTTCCATCTTTGCTTTTTCAGCAGCAATCTCCTTATTTCCCTTCATTCTTTTCTTCGTTCTTCGACCACCTTTGTTCTTGATTAATGTAGGAGGTAATATATTTATTTTCTCCTGTTGTTCAACTCCCATCAAAGTCTCAATAACTTCTTTGTTGTTTATTGATTTTGCATGTTTTGTTTCTTTGTCAACATTTTTCATCTTCTCATTGAAGGTTTGTATCTGTCGGTTACACTTCACGTATAAAGAACAAAAGTGAAGTAGTCTAAGAATACAAAGAACAGAAAGTAAATAACACAAGGAGTTCTCCAAATTGTCTTTCACCAACAAAGGGTTTGTCTTCACCAAGAAGACGGTTTGTCACAGAGACGGTTACCAAGATGAACTCTTCATTAGGGTTTACCCTAATGTTGATTATATACTAATTTATACAAGTATATCCCTTGATTGAACGGATTATATCTATTCTATACTAAAAACCAATCTTCATCGCAAAGATATCGGATCTGCAATATATTTTATACTTATCTATATCATTACCTAATATACAAAAGATTACATAGAATTAACTAACTACTGGCTGACGCTGATAGACTTGATACGTTGACGCTGAGGGTGATGCAGACACCAACACTAACAGATAGTGTGTAGAATGTTTGACTCATCAGATCATACGATCTGACCTTACAATCTCCCCCTATCTAATGATGTCAAAAGTTTTCTTCTTCTTCAAAGTCATCAGAAAAACTATTGTAAAACTTGTCAGCTTCTTTCAAGATCTCAAGCTCGACCCATCTGACTTCATCAATTTGAAGCTCTTCCAATTTTTTACTAGGCTCCAGAGATATCACCACACGATATCCTCTTTCCAGTTCAAAGTGACTAAGGCCTTCCATATGAAGATGAAACAAATGTTCAGTGGGAATAGCAGGAAGATCGTCAGTTCGTTGAAAGCACATGTGATTTTAACTGTCAATATAAAAAATGCCTTGTTCTGGTTCTCGAATGAACATGTACTGAACTGGTTCAACACCCACCGGTAGTTCATTATTGATGTTCTAAGTACCATAAGGAAGAAGAAACTTTGTATTCTTGGACTGTCTGGGAGCACCTGTTCTTCCTGAGGAGGATGGCCTAGATGGACCAGCTGATGGCACAAGGATCAGCTTCTTGACTTTGTTGAGTAGCTGCTGAATTGCCAACCTCACTTCTTGAGCATGAATACTCTTTTGTTTTTCAATAAGTTCTTGAATTTTCATCCACTCGTTATAGACAAATTTGACTAGTTCACGAGCAAATACAACCTCAATGTATTCATATTCAGTCTTCTTCCTGACCAGGTGAAGCTTTAGTGACTTGCTCCTTGATTTGGTGCATCTCACCTTGATAATGGGATCAGGCTTTGTTCTTCGAGTCAAAACGTATCTGAACTTCTCCCTGTCAATCCAGTCATTCATGTATGAAACCCTATGTTGTTTCTCCACACTATTAATGAAGAGCTAAATTTTCTTGACTTGATCATTAGTGATTTGAAAATTAGCAGTTTCATCAGCGAAAACAAGGGGCTTGAGCAAGTTTGGCAGACAAATGTTCTCCTTTTATAGCTTCTTTATTATGTCAAATAGCAACATTATTCTCCACCATGATCTCTCTTACTTCATCAAGTGTTAAGCTCCATATATTAGCCAATTCATTCAGATAAAAAATGAGCTTGCTTTTTCTTGGGAAGAGGAAGTGTTGAAGGATCACCACCAGTAGAGGAACTTCTAGCTTCAGCGTCATGAGCTCCCCCTGAGGAGGAAGCCTTCCTCTTTCGAGGATTGAGCTGATCATTATCAGTCTCAATGTCACTATTAGTTCCTTGAGGAACCTCCCCCTCAAAGTATGAATCACGGTAGAAAAGATTCAAAGGAACAATAGATACAACAACTTATGGAATGAATCCAAGATCAAGAAACGTTTCATAGTCATCGGTCTTTGATTGATCACCAATTTCGGGAATGGGCTGATCAGTTGTTGTATCAGCGTCTGGAATGTCAGCAACAACAATTTACTTTTGAAGTTTGGCTTCAACCCTTCCAGTTTCAGACATCTCAGGACGAGATGGAGTTGGTGCAATCACCACCATTTTCATTTGTTGATTAGGTCTCCCTTGATTATTCTCCCCTTTTTGGCAGCATCAGATTGGGGAGGAGAGCCAGGAGGTGGTGAAGGAGTGCGAGAAGGAGGATGAGATGGTGGAGGAGGATTATCACCTGGAGAGTTTGGTGGGGTGTCATCAACAACCATATTATCATAAGCATCATCATCATCATCATCATAATCATCAACCAATGCCATAAAATGCTTCATATTAGCCACATCCTTCTCTGCTTTAGTCAACCTTTTACCCAATGATTGAGTTAACTTTACAATTAGAGAGAGTTGAGAAAGCACAACAGTTTGAAAATTGGAGCTAGATTCTTCGTGTTCATCCTGATGAAAATC